TTCCTTCCCTCCTTCCTTCCTTCCTTCCTTCCTTCCTTCCTTCCTTCCTTCCTTCCTTCCTTCCTTCCTTCCTTCCTTCTTTCCTTCCTTCCTTCCTTCCCTCCTTCCTTCCTTCCTTCCCTAACTCATGTTCCCATCACTTGTCCCCCTCCCCTGTTCTTTTTCATCTAAAGTAAAATAAAATGAAAGGTAGCTATGTTCATTTACGGAAAAACAATCTTTGCTGTATATGTCACGCTTCCAATAAAGTGCATAATAAGAAATAATGTTTGTCTTGTCTTTTCTCACCAGGCAACAGGCAAGAGACCTAGATCTAGCCGCGCGGTACTCAAACAAGATGTAGCAAAAGGTGAGTAGACTGCGTACCCTGGTTGTGTGGTTTTGTTTACTAAACATGATTTAATTGCATTTTCACTTGATTTCATTACGTTCACGTTTATGCCCCTCGATCTCAACCTGTCGACTTTTTTTTTGAAGCTCACTTCAATGGAAAATGCCAACGTATTCATATTTCAAACTTAACTTGACATATTAAAGCAGGGAATATAGTACGACTGGTACGAGTTAACAATGAAGTCCAGTATCCAGTTTCACTGATTTATTTTTCATGACTGAGTTGGGACAGTTAAGATTATTTAGGAGACTGGCTGTTTATATCTTACCAGTCATGGTCAATCCAGAAGAAAAATTATGCAGTGCCCTAGCAGGAAAGTTGGGGTAAAGATTCTCTTTTGATGGGGGTACTCGATAAAATAAACTCTCCTCTTCTAAGTGACACAGTGAAAAGCCTAACCAAACCACCAATGTATCTTGTTCTGCTTTATAACTGGGTCATGGTTATAATGTGACCAAGATTCTCGTAAGAGAAAACCGAAAGGTTTTTTAATTTTTTTTGGTCATTGTTAGAGTCAGTATTTTGATAGTACGTGTACATGTACTTCCCATTTCGAACACAGAGAAGCTATATTATTATTGGCAGCTCTTCTTTCAAAGAAATTAACTATTACAAGCATGCCTTATTGTAACCAGACACAAAACAACAGGAAATTTAGCGTAAAACTGACTTTTGTAACCTCATCATATTGCGAAAGGAATAAGATATAATATAAACTAAACTGGCGAGAGCTGGGAAAGGTTCGTATTCTTTTCCTTTGGACTGTTCCATTTCTTTGTCTCCTTTGCTCTCCCTTGCACTAGGTGGCCATCATCGTCATGGTGATATGCTGCTCTTACTTTAAACTCGGCTCTTTAAAATACAACCTTTCATTTCCTGCCTATTCCAGGTTCTAAGAACGGGGAAAAGACGTCTATCCTTGAAGGCATGTCTAATGTCCAGCCTGTGGCAAACTTCATCCCTGCCTGGTTGGCTCAGTCGGGCCTGCTGTCCCTGGTGCAGACCGAAGACACGTCATCCTCATCGGAGCTGTCGTCATCAGCTAAGTCATCTTTGTTAGTCGCAACATCGTCGTCAGTTGATCAGTCCTCGTTAGTGGAGACATTCTCATCTACTAAGCCATCTTCATCAGTAGAGAAATCTTCATCAGTTGACCCGTCTTCGTTTGCTGAGATACTTTCAGCGAAGAAGGAAACTAGAGGGACTCAGGCGTCCATCAGTCCATCTTCTGGCTCAAGAAAATCAAGCCTGAAGATGTCTTCAGTCGCCAGAAGCTCTTCCTCCTTGCCCCCGATGCCCCTGTCGGGCAACACAAAGACTGACATACTCACCGGTATCACCGAGCATGCGAGAGAGCCTGCTAGTGCTGGAGAATCCAAACCCTCACGTCCATCGGTGCCTGCAGGGTCTTCAACAAGACCCTCGTCACAACAGTCTGTAACACGCATGACACCACGACCTCGCAGCGTATACACCTGGATAAACCCAGAGCTCAGACAGAAACATTACCAGGGCTCCTCCACTTCTGGTGTTGTCAGAGGTACTGCGGGACAACCGAGACACCCACGACCCCGTAGCGTATACTCATGGGTCAACCCAAACCTTAGACAAGCTCAGGTTTCCGCCGCTCCCGGTTTCAAGAGCGTTAGTCAACAAGTCAGCAACAGGTCGAGTCCCCCGCTGAGCTGTTCCAATACTTCCCGATTTCCCAAGACATCCTCCCCTCCTTCTCTGCACCCAGACTCTAACAGCACAGCTTTGGGCCATGTGGGAAGACAGGAAAAGTCTACTCAACTACAGGATAGACAGTTCTTTGCTCCATTGCCCATCGTAACTGTCTCTAGAATGCCGCCAATGCCGAAGTTCTGGGAATTCAAACCTCTGGAATTCAGTGAGGTGATCGTGGTCCACGCGGAGAGCCCAACTAGTTTTGTGGTAAGGAATTTATTATATTTTCCCACTAACTCACTCATAATGCATTCTTTAACCTCATTAACTGACTTAATCACTCATGCATCCTAACATTAATTCAATTATTTATTCACTTATTCATTAATTCATTTACTTATTCATTCGTTCTTAATTTCAGTTACTTATTTACCTATT